GATTTTGGCCACTTTGTGATGTCATAACGATGTTTTGTCTTGTGTAACCATTAGCCAATCAGCAACCAAGGTAACCCCCCCCTCCCCCCCTTATCACCTGAATCTCCTCCTAGAGCTCCATTGAGTTCTTTGTAACTAAATGTCTCTCAGAGGGGCGTGGGGAGGGGCTCCTTATTTTCATCTAAAGTAACAGACAGAGAATCAGCACTTTTGAAACACGGCTGAAACAGAGGGGATTATGGGTAATGCTGCAATGATCTGTTTGGTGTTTCAGCCAATCAGAGACAGGCTCTGTATATATCTGAGACCTGTGATATATTGATGAAAAACAGTATAATAGGAGACCTTTAATGTCTCTAATTGTTTTATCATCTAGGGTGTAGCTATTGTGCATATGTCAATAAAGCTTTTGAATATTGGATAACGGCATATCTTTGTTCCACTCAGGCTCTGTCCACCTACGGCAGTGACTCTCAGATGACCAGCCTGCTGAACGAGATGGACGTCTATGTCCTGCCCGTCTTGAACGTCGATGGCTACGACTACACCCACAAGAGCGTAAGTTCCAAATCATGCTGCCTTGTTTATCTTAAATATTTCCCTAATTTGTAAACTGCTTGTTTAATTAATGTATCTGTGTCCTCTGGTGGGCAATTTAGAACAGGATGTGGAGGAAGACTCGCTCCAGGAGATCTGGATCCAGCTGCATCGGTGCCGATCCCAACAGGAACTTCGACGCTGGCTGGTGCAGTAAGTGAAGCAAACACATGGATATACTGTATCTTTAAAAGGGGCACTCATGTGACTTTAGTTCATATTTCATAACATAAGGTTAAGGGGTGTTTGTGGAACAGATTTATTTTTAAATGGCCGAAATCAAAGCACCACAGGCCAAGATATTTTGAATTGAAGTCACACAAATCCTACATTTCCCATAATTCAACTTGGGAGAATATTTCTTAAGAAACACCTTCGTCTTTCAAATTCACAATTTGTAATGCGTTCATTTTGTTATAAATATGTGATCTCAAGCTGACACACCCTGATGACATCACTATGACATCATCAGAGTCACATAAGACATTAACCAACAGGCTGTAAAATACTTCTCACGTAAATTCAACTTCTTGGGGCCTTTTTTTTTTTTCATTTTTTTTATAAATTAATTTTTTTCAGTTATAAAATAAACAGACATTGCTCCAGATAACAAACCGTACATCAAAACATGTAACAACAAACAACTAAACAAAACGTAACGAGAGAGGGGGGTTGGGGTGGATGCAAGGATGACTTCCTAAGACAGCTGATTGTGACATACACAGGACATTACATACACAATACATTATACATTACACAGGAGATGCCATATTGACAGGGTTAGATAGGAGAGCTGCGGACAGTGAACCGCAATCCTCCTGTCTCCCCTCAAAATCCCCCAGCAGAGAAGCTGCACGCTCCATGTTCAGTAGGTCCAGATACTCCCTCAGCGTCTTGGGCCCTTTTTTAAATCACAATGCATTTATCTGGACTTGTAGGAATTTATTTTTGTATTTGTTTGACTTAATTCGTTTATTTCCACCCTGGAAATGGGTTTATGTATGTATACTGTATGTGTACATAGAATGCTGTCTCCCACTACTCACATTGTTTGTTTTTCGGATGTATAAACGGTCTAATTGTTGAACTAGTAGAATAAATGTCCACATGTCATTTCTTTCACAGCCGTTGGAGCCTCCAGCAACCCCTGCAGCGACACCTACTGCGGGTCCAGACCCGAGTCTGAGATCGAGGCCAAGAACGTGGCCGACTTCATCCGCAGGAACAAGTCCGACATCAAGGCGTACATCACGGTGCACTCCTACTCCCAGCTGCTGCTCTTCCCCTACGCCTACACCTTCGAGCTGGCTGCCACCCACAGCGAGCTGGTGAGTCTCTATCCGCTTTAACTTCTCAAACTGCTTCTGCCATCCTGGTTATTTGAAAAGCATCACTTACTGATGGCAGTGATAATGATTGATGAAGTTGTTTTGCTTACTCTGCGTCATTTGGGCCAAACCTCAGATGGATACCGTGTCACTCTTAATTTTCATAGTTTCCAACCTCCTCTGTATTCATAGGATCTATTTCTCTTTATCTGCTCATACACACAATCTGTACTTCATAATACTTCACTGCTGAATAAGGATGGACTATATTTACATGCTTGGTCAGTCGCAATGGCTCTATAATTATCCATCATGATAGTGTCACATGCATCGCTGTAGTGTGGCAGCCAGTCTCTAGTAGTGTTAATTTCGTCAGCTATTTTTTAATTTAGTTTTAGTCTTAGTCCTGTGTTAAATTTCCTTTTCAGTTTAAGTCATATGTAGTCACCCTAATCCTGTTTTTATTTAGCCAAGATTTAGTCGACTAAAAGTCTGAGCATTTTAGTCTTATTTTAGTCAAAGAAAACAAATTATTTTAGTCTACTTTTTGTCAATGAAAACTGTTGAGTCTTTTTTAGTCATCAGATTATATAGAACATTTCAGTCAAACTAGTCTAGCCAAAACCAAAATTTGTCCTTTTAGTCAAACTTATTTCACAATAAGATTATATCTTGTCCTTATTTGATGAAAAACACAGGTTGATTAAGAATGCAGCTTTGCAGAGAGTATCTGGTCAGGTTGTGGTGTTTTTACCAGCTGTGTTATGGCCACATTGCTTCCCTTCTGATAAAACAATGCATTCGCTTTTTTCCTCCGCCTCATGGTCGTGAACACGGGCTCAAATATCACATCGTTTCTTTCTCCCAAGCAGTGGTGGCTTTAGACTTTTTCGTTGTCAGTCATTTTGACGGACAGGATTGTAACATTTCCGCCATAATCCATTATTACCCGTCGAGTGCACAATTTATCACTCACTCGCGCTGACATGGGGGTATTCGGTTAACGCGAGTACGACCCCGGCTCCCAAGCCCTGTTGTNACTAAGTGCTGGGAACTAAGTACGGCAAAGTACTTGGTGTGAAAGCGGCTATTTACCTTATTTTTTTGTTTAAAAAAGCAGAAATTGAAATAACTTGTAATAACTATGAGTATAATTTGGATCAGAGACATTTTGATTTATCATAGACAGGTTTATTTGAAAGTCGGAAATCTGTTTTGGGACCGTTTTAACCGTTTTAATGAGAGCACATAATGACACCAGATGCTATAAATAAAAAAAAACCACAAAAATCAACCTTATTTTAAATCAGGACTGAAGACTTTTCTGTTTGAATTAAATAACTTCTCACATCTTACACTGAACTGTAAAGCTGATCCATGTATTATACACATGTCCAATTCTGTTTTAGCTTGTTTTAAATTGTATTTTTGAGCGTTTTTAATGAATTTTTATGTTGTGTTTCTGTCAAATGTGCAACTTTAGTCCTGGTTTGACATAAATCTTCTTGCAATTTTGGTTTACACCTTTAATGTAGACTTCATTTCAACTCATTACCTCAATTTCTACTC